GGGGGGCCCAGGACAGCAGCCTGTGTGGGGCTGGGCGCATTGTGGGGCGGCAGTGGGGCTGCTGCGGCCGGGGGGCAGCCCGGGTTGGGAGCCCCGGCCGCGGGGACAGGGGCTGGAGCCGGCAGGGAAGGGGCAGCCGCTGCCGGGGCCGCGAGGGGACACGAGGCCGGAGGCGCCGGCGGAGCCCCGGGGCTCACGGGGGGAGCCCCCGGGACGGCCCCCGCGGCTGCCGCCGCAGCAGGAACCGGCACCAGGAGCCCCGGGGCGGCCGCGGGTCCTGGAGCACCCGGGGCGGCCGCAGGCTGGGCTGCCTCGGCCGGAGGAGGAGGGATGGAGGGAACGGGGAGCAGCGGCGCTGGGGCCAGCGGCGGGAGCGAGAAGAGGGGCGAGGCGGCAGCGGGGAGCACGGGCGGCGAGAGGGGCCCGGGGGGGCAGGCGGGGCCCGGGGGGGCCGCGGCCGAGGCTGGAGCCGCAGGCGGAGCTGGGCAAGGAGCAGCAGGAGGAGCAGCTGAAGGAGAGAAACAAAGTGAGGGGATGAGCGGGGGCAGGAGGGCACGGGCAGGGCGGCGCCGCCGGCTCGGCCCCCCGCGCCCGGGCAGCTCCGGAGCCCGGGGAATGGCACCCGCGGCAGCAGCTGCGGCCGGCTGCTCCGGGGCGCCCGGCCCCTGTCCCGGTGCCACACGCGGGCCCTCCCGGCACAGGCGCTCCCTCTCCAGCGGGAGCAGGGCCCTGACCCTCGGGCGGCGCTAGCGGGACAGCACGCCGGGGTCAGGGGCGCACCGGGGTTCCCGTGGGCACCGCGGCACCTGGCGTCCCGGCGGCGGCTCCGGCGGGAGCTGGGGGAGCGAGAGCAGGGGGCAGGAGGAGCCCTGGGCGCTGCCGGCGTCGCTGCCTGGCGCCCAGCCCCAGCCCTGGCGCCGCCAAAGGGGCCACGGGCACCGGACGAGCCGGTCCCGCGAGGGCGACCCGGGACCGCAGGGCCACCCGCCGCCTTCCGGCACTGCCCAGGGCGTTCCAGCGCGTCCCTGGGCGTCTTGGGGCATCCTAATGCATCCCAGCGTGTCCCAACACATCCCGATGCGTCCTAACGCATCCCAGCGTGTCCTAGCATGTCCTAATGCATCCCAGTTCATCCCAGCAGTCCCAATGCATCCCAGGGTCTCCTAACACATCTAACACATCCCAGTTCATCCCTGTATCCCAATATATCCCAATGTATCCTAACACATCCCAGTCCATCCCTGCATGTCCTAGCACATCCCAGGGTTTCCTAACACACCCTAGTTCACCCTGGTGCGTCCTGATGTGCCCCAGCGCATCCGCGTTCCTCCCGCGCCGCGGCCGCATCCAGCGGGAAGGACGGGATCGCGGGCCCGTCAGTCACCGAGTGTCTCCCCTCGCTGGGGCTGCTCCCCCACGCAGGCCCGTGGGATGGGGTGGCCGCTGCGCGCGAGGGGACACGC